CCAGGGAGACGCGGAGACGCTTTTCTCGACCCGGGGGACGCGGGCGGTAGGACCGCGGCGCATGGGCGGTCCCGCAGCCCGCATCCTCCAGGGCAAGAAAAGCCCCGTTCATAAGTACGGATCTGACATGTCGGATCCGCATAACTCAGGGACTGCCTGTATTTAAAACTAATATAATCTACAATAGCACTTTTCTGTTTAAATTCAATACTGCCTGCCAATACAACCATAATCTAATTCCACCTCTTGTTACCGCGGCGCATGGGCGGTCCCGCAGCCCGCATCCTCCAGGGCAAGAAAAGCCCCGTTCATAAGTACGGATCTGACATGTCGGATCCGCATAACTCAGGGACTGCCTGTATTTAAAACTAATATAATCTACAATAGCACTTTTCTGTTTAAATTCAATACTGCCTGCCAATACAACCATAATCTAATTCCACCTCTTGTTATAATTGTGATATGCTATAATCCTTATCCAACTACAATTTACTAATCCCTCCCAAATGCATGAAGAAAAAGGTAATATTCCAGATATACTGCAAAAGGTCAACACATCTGGGCTATGACAAACCAAAGGGGCAGGATGTTTCAGGGTGGAGGGATCTTCATTAAGAATGCACTGTTGGCAACTCCCCTTTCTATCTGGGGAACTCAGTACTACTTCTGATTTCCACTGCAATATTATAGTCCAGTAACATAGATCTCTAGGGTCTTAAAGATCTAAAGCAGAGTCTCAAGTAGACCTGAAAATCCACAATACAACTAGCAATGTGAAAAGTTAACTGGCGGGGGCTAGAGCAATCTTCCACCCATCATGGGTAGGGGGCTGGTGCAGCCCTATGGGGCCCGCCATGGAAGGGGGGCGCTCCAGGCTGATGGGGCTGCAGAGGCCCCTTTGCCCGCCCACCTCTGTTTAAGCAGTTAATTGGTTAAACATTAAATGATTAAATGGGATTTTACGTCCCTAAATACAACTAATACAGTTCTTGGAAGTGGAATACAGTTATCAGGTGTAGTTCAGTATATATTCTAGGAAAAAGTAGCATTTATTTTTATTTTACAGGAAATATTAGAAAACCTAGTGCCTAAAGAGATGCTGTATCTAATTCTTGCTATATATGATGCTTCTGGTAATGGATAGTATCTTAGAAGAGCTTACTTTTAATTTTCACCATTTTTAAATCACAAATCCCTTTCCCTCCTTCAAAACCATCAATTATGGCAGGGTAGTCTACTTGCCTTCCAAAGGGTAATTTCAGATTTATTAATTCTTCTAACTTGTGGTAGTTTGGATAAACTGATTTCAAATTGAACCGTAATTTGTTTCCTTATACAGCAATCTATAACATTTATTTTCTGAACTGAGTTTTAAACTTGGTATGTCTCATGTGTTTGTTAAATACTGTATGTATAAATGTCTTGCAATTCTGTTTAGCTTGGATGAATGTTTGTGTTGCGTGGAGTGGGTGTGAGGTTGAGTGAATAAATAGGAGTATCTTGTTTGTTTGTTTTTTTCCTCATGATAAAGAGTGGGCATATAGGGTTTTTTGAGCATGGCCTCTTAATCATGTGTGATGCACCTGCAAGGTTATGAAGTATGTATTGTCCCACTTCATAAAAAGATAACTTGCTCCCCCATCTGAAGCAAAGAATATATGTCCTTTGATGTAAAGCTGGCAAAAGTTTGTTCAAGGTCCAAATCTAATTATCAAATACAGGAACAGAGATGCATCTTATGGAGACTATGCAGCCTAGGATGCAAAGATCTATCTTGTATCAAGTTACCTAGCTAGATCACTTCAAAGATCTGAGTTGCATAGTACTTTGTTATTAATGATATGGGGATAGCTATAGGTTCTGTAGTAGATGGCTGGGATTCTCACATTGGCCTCTTAGTTAATGTAGCTGGTAAAAAAATGCCACGTTGCCTTCGTAGAGTATGAGATATTTTTAAGAAGCTTATTTGTGAAGTTAACTTTACTGCATGAGACATTTAGTTAGGCTTATTTCAGTGAGATGTCTGAGAAATTTCCAGGTTGTGTGTTCTCATCTCACATCTAGAGCACAAAAAGATGGGCTGAAGTAAAAGACATTAAAAATTAGTAAAGAGGGGAAAAATATGGGCTAAGTCCCATGGAAGAAATGAGTAGACTGTTATTTTTAGAGTTATAATTGTAAAAGCAAATAAGTACTCTAATTATATTTTACATGTGTTTATTTTTAAGAGATGAAATTGGGTTAATACCCTGTCCTGAAGCCAGGTATAACCGGAGCCCTATAATCCTGGTAGAAAACAAGCTTGGTGTGGAGAGTTGGTGTGTCAAGCTTCTTTTGCCATATGTGCACAACAAACTCCTTCTCTATAGACAAAGAAAGCAGTGGCTGAACAAAGATGGTAAGTTACTTTCTTGACTGAATTCCTGTATGATTCCTAGTATGTAGTTTATTATCTCTGATACAATGCAGTCTGCTTGAAATATATATATATTTGATAGTGTTTTGGAATAGTCTAGTGAAATGAGGAAGGGGGACCTATTGCACAAGCTAATATGGCCATTCTGCAATGGCCATTCTGCAAGTTATTTCTACGTAAGTTGAGATTCCTTCTGTTCCTCCACCTAATTTAGGAGAAATGTTACTGTGTTTGGAGTGAATTTTATCTAGCACTCCTTGGTCAAATGGCTAGTGATATATAACTATGGGTAGAAGAAGAGTGGGAGATTTTCAAGACTTAGAGGATCCCAGGAGAAATCATTTTTATAAGCAAATTGATATTCCAGAGCTCCTGTTAGCTTTACTAACTCAGTTTCACAAGTTTCTAAAGGTATTGCTGACTTTAAGTAGTCTTAGTGTCCTTTTTATTAAAAAAGTTTTGAAGTTCTGCTTCATTGGAGTCGTGTCACAAGGTGGTCAGCATAATTTAGAGAGGAGGAATAGGTATGAAATTTGACAAATGACTTCTTTGGATAAAAACAATGAGCAGTTTTGTGGCAGCTTGGAGACTAACAAATATAATATATCATGAATTTTTTGTGGGTAAAATCCACTTTGTCAGATAAGTTGAAGTGGAAATTACAGAATCCAGAGTATATATAACAGCAAAAGCAGTTACCTGTCAATTGTAGTACCAGTGTAAATTATCTAAATTAGGGATATAAAGGACTAGTTGACTATCCGATAAGCTTATTTGCTTATCGAATCGTTGACAGGATAGTCGACTAGTCACTTCCCTCTTCCCTTGCTGCCTCTTATCAGATAGAGGCAGCAAGGGGAGGGGGGAGAAGAAGGAGATACTTAAAAGCGGCAGTGCTGTATGGAGCCCAGGGTCAGCTGCTCTGTGCGGCGCTGCTGCTTTGAATGCTGCAGGGAGCCCGGAATCAGGCTCCTTGCAGCATTTCAGAGCTGCAGCGCCACGTGAAGCCCAGGATCAGCGGGGGACTCCCTAGCTGATCCCGGGCTCCGTATGGTGCTGCTGCTTTGAATCACTGGGCTCTTGTATATCAAAGCCGAAACGCGGAAGTTCTTATCAACTAGTTGAGTAGTTGATGAAAATTCCATCGACTGTTCAACTAGCAAATTAATGGCTACTTAACATCCCTAATGCTAACTGAGTCAGGCTGGATGTGTCACATTCACAACTTGGATGTGTAAATGTGAATATCAAAGGCAGTGCGGTAATGGGAGCTGCAATCACCTGTACCTGCAGAGGTGCAGGTAAACAAAACATCTGCTGGCCAGCTAGTGGCTTTCCCTTACAAGCCATGACCCAGAGTTTGAAAACTTTTATGTAAGGTGTAGAAGTGGTTCTCTGCAACCTAATGTTGGCATGTTAGCCCCTTTTAAATTGTCAGCTATCATAACGCTTTATATGTATTCTGGATAATTTGGAGGAAAACGATTAAGCCTTCTGGAACTCCACCTGTGAGCACTCTATGAGAGGAGGAGGAGAATGCCCACAATGGCTATTTAGGTTCATAGGGGTGGGAGAAAAAGAAACTTACCTCTTTCAGTTCACCCTTAGTCTCTTGCAAGTAGAACTGGAATGTTTTGTGAACAATGGCATTATATGCCAGAAACCGATCTAAAGAATTAGTATAATCCTACATTCCTTATCTCTGTATAGAGGAAGTTATCAATCCGAACAGCCGGTACCATGTGTCAGGTTTCAGGCCAGATTACTGTACAGAGGAATCTGTTTTACAGGTAGCAGTATTTATGGTGTAGTCTTTGTGATGTGACGAGTTAAGGCATGTCAGTACTTGGAGTTGTCTTCCATATACTCTTATGGAAGTATAATTTTGGAATCAGAGAATAATTTTGCCTGGACTAAGGATGTTAAATGGGTAAATGACTAATCATGTAGTCGATACAATTTGTATTGACTTTACAATAGTCAATAAAGGGAGGCAGTGTCCAGGAGCTACCCCCACTGCAGCTTTTATGACATTTAAAAGGCAGAGGCATAGTGGGAGTAAGTCCAGGAGAAGGGAGGCAGAGGTACAGCAGTCCAGCTCAGTCCTAGCTTGCGCGGGATCCCAGACCTACCCCCGCTTCGTGTCTGCCTTTTAAATGTAGTAAAAGCTACCTGGCTTTTCCTACATTTAAAAGGCAGAGGCACAGTGGTCCGGGAACTGGTGAGCAGTCCCGACTCAGTCGGGTCCCAGACTGCTGCACCTCTGCCTCCCCTCCCCTCGCACTGTGGAGATGGTGCTGGAGGGATCCAGCTCCTGCTTCCTTCCCTCTCACTCTTTGCTGCCTCTGATACAGAGGCAGCAAGGTGGGGGGAAACAAATAGTCAAGTAGTGACTTGACTACTTGATGAGCCTTGGCTTATCAGGTAGCAGATTACTCAACTAGTCACTTCTATCCCTAGTCTAGACTATCAAAGGCTTTATAGCCTCCTAAAAAGGTTTGGCAATATGCTGTCTGAGAAACACTGACAGTTTCCAGATATGGACTACATTCTGTCCTGATGCACAATGAGTTGACTGCTGCTGGATAACAGCAGCTCCACTACTGATACCCAATTCAGTTGTCAGGTTAATGCCCAGAATGAACTCTCTCTTCTAAGCAGCCACTTGCATTTGATATAGTTCTTATGATGTGCTGTTGGAATTAGGTTAAAGCATCTGTTTCTTAACCCAAAAAAAAAGGGCAGGAGGAGGATAGTCATAAAAAATATGTACTTGTACTTGAGACTGTTGTGGCTTTAATTGTTCAGAATTAGGGACACTAGGATCCTTCCCCATGTGTGCAGTAGGCTAACCATGATGAATACAAGGAGACACACACAGATGCAAACTTCAACGAGAGGTAACTGGATTGAATGGAACTTTCCAAAGTTTGAAAGGCAAGGATTGAGGTTTAAGTAAGGGAATATGTATGTATAGGGATTTTTTTTGTTCTTATCCTTTGCTCTGCATGCTATTTATGTTTGGATGTATATATGAATAAAGAATGTTTTGAAAAAACTGTTTTGGGGTTATTGTAGTCAGCTTGTTGGTCTCAGTCCTTTTTCTTTTGGGGACCTTAAAGATTCCAAACACTGTTGGGACTTCTATGTTAATCTGGTTTGGAAATGGGACTGCCACCCAGAGATCTAGTGTCAAAGTGGTTTGACTGTAGGGTTTGAGAGAGGTGCAGAAAATCACTCAAAAAGGACTCGGTGTCTAAAATGTAGCTTGCTTTCTATTGGTGACATCAGTGTAATTATATTTTACACTAACAAGAGCTGGATCATTTCCATGGTGCATTGAGGATTCCATTTAGTTTCTAATGATGCATTTGGATCTGATAGAAACAAATGGCAATATCTGATCTCATTCAGTTTGAGAACTCTTCTAAAAACTCCGTAAGAATTTTAAATGCAAAACATAAATAGTTAAATCTGACATTTATGCCAAAAACACATGTCCGTTTAAAATGAAATGGACTTAGGTGGACTAGTTAGATTAGAACATTGGCTTATCATACAGACACCAGCAAAGTATGTGTGTGTTTTTTCAGGTCCTTCACAGGCAATTTTTTTCGATTGGACCTAGAATGTTACAGAAGAGTTCTGCCCCAGAAAAGTCACAGCAGACAAAAGGCTTTCTACATCTGTAGTCCAAAGTAAACATATAGTGCAAAGCTTGTTTTATCCTTGGACATAAGCAAGAAGGCAATCATTGGTTCTTATTTAACCTCCAGTTCCCGTCTAACCAAGTTTGTCCTATTTTTATAGAAATAAATGCTTTGTTGTAGTGAGGCCCACTACTTCATCTGTACACAGGATTTGCTCATTCAGTTGTTCTTATAAACGTTCAGATCTGAATGTTGAAGTATTTTAATCCTTCTCTGACAGTGCCTATCTGAAGTCCTTTAATTCCAAAATACAGACTATTCTGCTCTATCATTGTACAAATATTTCAGCAATGTGAAAGCCAGGTTTTTGGCTTGAAGAGAGACTCCCTTCTCCATTTTCTTTTAACATAAAGCAAACACAAGTGCATGGTGCAAGATGGTCTGCAACATTTTGCAGGTTTATCCAACTTTTAAAGTGATGTTATTGTATGTTCTTAAGGCTCTGTTAATTACCTGATTATATGCCAGATTGTTTTAAATGTTGAACGACTTGCTTTATCCTTTGTCAAGAGAGAGAAGTTTGGCAGAAATCATAAGCTGCTCTGATGAGAAGATATACATAAAACAGTCTTCCAAATACAACATTACTTGACTTACTCTGAACTGTGATATCCTCGTATATGCTAAGGTGTATCTTTTTACTTTTAATAGAATGTTGCGTGGTGGGCAGCAGGGGTGTAAAATCGTGGTTAAACAGTTAAGCAGTTAAATGACATTTTAACTGGTTAACCATGATCCTGCGGTGAGGACTGCTCCAACCAACCAACACTGCCATGTTATAGGAGAGGAGCTGCTGCAGCCTGGCTTGAGTGCCCTGAGGTGTGGTTGGCCCAGCTGAGTTGGAGCACCCTATGCTTGTGAAGTGCCATGGGCTGACCAGAGCGCCACCTAGAGCTCACATCCGGGACTGCTGGTGCAGTTGGAGCTGCTGCATGGCCAGGTTGGGGGTCCTGCCTGTGCCCTCCTAGGGCTGCAGCCATGGCTGGGCCGGGGTGGCCAGTAGGGATGTTAGATATTGAATAGTCATGTAACCGCATAAAATCTCAGTGGTTACATGACTATTTGATAGTTCCCAGGGATGGCAGCCAGTGTGCTTCCAGCCCCACCCCCAGGGCCTGTGTATCAGGCAGCAGTGTGGGATGGCAGAGGGAACTGGCCCATAAGGGGAGCCAGTTTAAAAATCAGCTCCCTTCATGGACTGACTGACTGCCCCCCCCCCGTACTGCCTCTGATACAGAGGCAGCAGTGTGCGGTGGCAGCAGCTGCTGTCTG